GCAGGACCTGGTTGTTGTGACTACATATTAGCAGTTTTCTCTGTCTAGCTTACTCTGGCTGCTTTTTTTTGGCGGAACCGGGGATCCTTGCATTTGCGAGTCAAGCGCTTATCCTACTGAGCCATCTCCCTGGCCCCACTCTGGCTGCTTTTGAAGCTGAAGAATTGGCTCCTAGCTAGAAATCCTTTGGCACTTTTGTCATGAGAAATGATTGTGCTAGCAAAAAACAAGGTTGCAGGCTTCCTAGAACATGATCATCCTGTTGACATGGCTGCTCAGGCCCTCTTGTGGCATTGACAAATAGCAGGAGATTTCAAGTGTACTTCTTTCCTGTTTTTGGGAAGCTGACTGAGGTCAGCTGGGGAGACAGCACAGCTTCCCGCCCACCAGCAGAGTCTGGGCATTGTGCCTGGCTCCTAGGTGGCCTGGGGAGGAGTGGGCCAGACTTCACACCAGTCGAACAAGAGAAGGCCCAGCCCTCCAGAGATTCCCATGGTGTTTGCCCCAAAGATAAGGGTGGTGGCTGCTGGTTTTGCTGTAGGGTGGCACCTACTTCAGTGCCTGGAACCTGAAAACTATCTAATAAGTGTTGAATGATCTCCTGGTTATATGTGTGCCTAAGCTTTTTAACTTTCCTTTGGGATAAGACCTTGGAGACCAGGCTGATGCTGGAAGCCATAAGGCAGGAGCCAAGCACTTGATGCAACATGGGAGAGTCCAAGTTTCAAGGTGGGAAAAGAGTGTGCCTGGGCAGGGCTGTCTCCAGGAGCAGTGTCTCTAGGGCACTGTCATTCAAGAACCTCAGTAGGCAGGTAGTGGGGGTCAAGAAAAATGTTTTTTTATGAAAATACCTCCAAAATCAGATAGGGAACCCTCATGTCATAGAGAAAGGGATTTGAAAGAACAAGACAATTCTCATACTGTGTGGGACCTGGCAGAGGACAGCAAAAGACAGGAGATCAAGGGAAGAAAGATGCCCAGTACCAATAAAAGGGGCTAGGCCAGGGATAGACCTTAGGCAAGGGGAACATGACAGAGAGGGAATCTTCATCCATTTCCTGTCATAACAATATCCTTGAGGCTGGGTAATCTATATTGAAAGTTTCATTTGGATCATTGTTCTGGAGGCTGTGGTGTCTTATGCTGTTTCAGCACATAGTACAAAGCAGAAAGTCAGAGAGGTTGTACAGTAGAGGACACAGGCATCACTTTTTTTGGTAACTACTGGTCCTTGAGAGCAGTAATTCATATGAGACAAGCATTAGCCCACATAGAAGGCTTCATTCCCTGACCCCACACCTTGTACTACTTACCCTCTGGCATCTTCCTCAGAACCAAAATGCATTATGCCAGGATGGATCCTTGCCACCCCATGGCAGATGGGCTGCTATGTCCAGCTATCTCCCATGTCCACTGTGGTCGAAAGCCAGGCAGTGCCTACAGGTGAGGTGCTGGATTTCAGAAAGAGGGAATAAGTGTGCAGAGACCAAGGGCCAGGCAGGGCCTGTGAAAGGCATCATATGTGCCCATGGAGTTTAATGGCTGTGCCTATCCAGAGGGGACATGGGATGGCTCTTAGGACAGTGAAAAATATATGAGCTTCTCTGGGGAGAAACAAAAGGCGGGTGGAGGCTAGAGCTCAGGGGCTCTGGGACGTTGCATGGCACTCAAATTAGTTATGGGTCGGATCTGCCTCTCCCCACCTCCCAAATCTGATTCCAGTAGATTCTGTTCTTGGCATTTCAGAATGGACTTCAGAACATGGCCAGAGCAGCTCATGTACAAATGAGCCCACAGCCACAGAAGAGATACTGTGGTTGCATGCATGGAACTCCAGAGGACAAGAGCATTGACAAAGGAGGGTATCACTGGTGAGTTATGTACAGTCTCCAGAAAAAGACTGAGCTAGGGGAAAGAGCAGATTTCCTAAGTGAAGTCATCTCTATGGCATCTCTGTAATGCCAGGGCTTCGTTGTCTACATGAGCTTCCATTCAGATCATGTTCAAAGCAGATATTGCTTATTTTCTACCAAGTTAGGCATAAATTACAATTCCCCTGGAGCATTCCCAGGAGCAGGGGGAGGAGGCAGTTGTGGACTTGCTTTTTATTATTATTTTTTTCATTTTTTTATGCATTTGGTATAGGGTCTCACTATGCAGCTCAAACTCAGGGATCCTCCTGTTTTCAGCCCCCCCCAGTGCTGGGATTACAGGCATGCACCATTCCCAGACTCGGAATTGCTTCTTTGTGCCTTCCAGGTTTCACTTCTGCAAACCAGGAGGAGTGCTGGGGCTGGGGACAGGACCCAGGCAGCTCCAGAAGGCTCAACACATGGGACAGGGGGAAGCTCCTGAGGTGTGCCTCTCGTCTGATGGCTGTAGAGGATGGATGGTGACCAGATGCCTGCAGCTTTCACATTCCAGAGCACCTGAAGGGTGGCAGTGCTTCCTCTGTGGGCTGGGCAACCTGGTGTTCTATCCCACTGGGTGAAATCCTGCATTAAGTAGGATACTTTCCATTCCAGGAGCTAGGGCATTGCAGTACACCAAATATAGGGGCTCTGGACTTTAAAATATGCCCAGAAGTCTTCCCCCTGCAGTTGGTATACTTCAAATACCCTTAGATGAAACCCTCACCTCAGTGTCTTTCTTCATTCTCTTCTAACGCACTTGCCATTACCCTTTCTATAGTTTATCTGTTTTAGTTTTTTGATAACTATAACAGAAAAGCACTGAGTCATTTGCATTGTATTCTCCACTGGGCATAAAGACAGTCTCACTTCTACAAGGTTCAGAACACTTGGCATGGGGCATGGGGTGTGGAACTGGATTTGAGATCCTGACTCACCTCTGCCACTACCTATACTGCTTACTTTCAGCCTCCTCTTGGGTGCTAATCCTGCCCATGACAACTTCCCAAGGGCTTTGGGAAGTTGACAAACTCCCAAGACATCAAGAAACTCCATTTCACTACCAAGACCCTCCCACCTTGTACAGCCAAGCCTGAGCCCTCTTCTGCCTCCCTCCTGCCCAGCCCCCAACCCTAAATGGTTCCTCTTCCTGTGCAGCTCCAGAGCACCTCTCCAAGAGGAGATGACAGAATGAGACCAATGGTCTGAGCTTAAAACAAACAAACAAACAAACTAAAAACAAACAACTCAGAGCACTTGACTAAACCTGAATAACTATAGTACCTTATATTTTCACCCTACAGGGGTTCTGCTACCATATGTGGACCAAAGCTAAACATTTTCCTGAAAGTTAGGCTGCTTGTATCTCCCAGGCTGCAGTCTCTCTTTCTGAAGCACTCTTGGTCAGCCCCCCATCCCCCAGCTCCAGCACTCTCTTCTATCCCCAAAGACAGGGAGGGGCTTAGGAGTCTGCAGAAAAGATGCTCTTAAGACAGCCCAGAATTCCCAGATGCTCTTTTTTTTTTTTTTTTTTTTTTTTAGATTTTTTTTTTTAGGGAAGGGTCTATAGTGTATTCGGGGTCTCACTACTAGATCGGACTCGTAGTAATCCACCTGTTTACAGCCTTCCAAGAGCTGGGATTACAGGAGTGAACCAACATGCCCAGTCTCAATTGCCCTCTCAGTGTGCCTCAGGGGGCGGGGCCAGCACAGCAGGCCAGGGATGGAACCTGGCCCATGCTTGCAGGTGCTTTAATTCACTGAGCTATTTGGTGGGCCCCTCAGCTACTCTTAACAGGGAGTTTACCATCAGGGAACAAATGCAAACAGAGACAGAGCCTGTACCCTCTGACTTTTGTCCCGCAATGGCCTCTCACTCCCCTCAGTCCAGCCTCTTACTCCAGAACCCTAGAAACACAGACATCTCCATGTTTCGTTCTCAGGTTTGTTTATTGAGCGCCCATGGAGTCTGTGGTACTAATCCTCAGGTTCAGAGCCACAGTCCAGTCAAAAGTTGACCAGTGATAGTACAGATAATATTTCCTAGCTGCATAACATCTGTAAGGGACAGGGAAGGAGAGTACTAATCACAAAACAAATTCCTATTCAAAGCAACAGAATCTCCTCCAAGAGTAATATATTTTCTATGCACACACACCCACGCGCACGCACACACACACCCCTCTGAATGAACACATAATATACCCACTTGGTTGTATATGCATGCATACATATACAGACCTCTGTGGGTAAATAAACTACTATATATGCTTTATGCACGCACACGCACGCACACACCACCACACGGACAGATAATCTGGCTTATGCTATCAAAGACACTATGTCTCCATGTTCTAGTGGAAGCGATCTGCCCTAGATGCCTGCAGCATGCAAAACTTGGAAGATCCAGAGAGTCACAGTTTAGAGGGACAATGTGGATACACAGGTACTTTTCCATCCCTGGGACCCCAGCCACAGGCTGCTCTTTGTTGGTGACAACAAACCCTTCCTGAAGGGCCCCCAGAGCAGAGTGGAGGAGCTGGAGCTCCCTGTTCAGGGCCAAGCCCATGAAAGCCCGGTGAGTTCATCAATCTTCAAGGCAGAGTTAAAAGCTCTGGTTTTCAAGTGTGGAGTCCTGCAAACAGCATTCTTGGGGACAGCATGACAAACCAAGGTGAGAGTGCCTTTTCTCACTCACTCTCTGCAGCTCCCCACAGGTGCTAACGCATTTTGTAGTCATTAGATACAGATGTTTCGCAGAGTTGGCCCTTAAAATCCAAGTCTACTGTGAAGTCGAGGTCTCGCTGAAAAGAGAGCAAAAGGCCATAGCATGAGTCTGGGTAGGAAGCCATGGCCTCTGCCCTGGCACGGACTTCCTCTTGGTAGCACAGGAAGGACAGCTGCGGGTTCTTAAGGGTTTCCAGTTAAGAGATCACCATGTAGAGCCCTCAAGATTTGGTGCTTTACTTTTACCCCACTCCTTCCTGTACTGATATAAGTATGTTCCCTCTGACTTCACTCTGGGAAAGGGAAGGGGTGCTGAGTCTTCGGGGACATCAATCACCTCCCAAGCACTCCAGAGACTTTAGCGTACCTGCTCTCACCTGCTGCTCCAAAAGAATCAGTCTCTGCCCACCAGGGCAGCTGAAGATACATGAATCAAACTTCTTTCAGACCACCAGAAATTGCTATTTCTAATTTATGCTCATGCTAAATGAGGCTGAACCCTTTTATTCAACCCTCCTCAATGAAGAGCTCACAACTGTCCAGGCCAAAAATCCAGAGGGTGATCTGGAGAAAACCTCTAGCTGCTGGGTCTGCAGAGTCCAGGCTGGAGCTCTCCATTGAGGCCTGGGCACCTGCAAACGCCCATCTAGGAACATGTCTGACTGCACAGGCCAGAGGGTCTTGGGAGCTCTCGAGAACTAGCTCCATAAGTCCCTTCTCCTTGATGATCCTGTCCACACACAGAGTCCTCAGTACTCACCACGTTTTTGGCATTTGGCTTCATGGATATAGTTCCATAGATTTCCTCCCCTCTCCGGACAGTGAGGTAATCTTCTAAGTAGAAGACAGTCTGCTTCCAGTGGGTGTAGGGGGCATCTGGGGCTGAGAAGGGTAACATCAGGGGAGGAGAAAGAAGAGTCAGGGGCTAGGTTTCCATAAGGGCTGAGGCTGGCATCCACACAGAAGTGTTGGGCTTCCACAGAACTCATTGAAAGCACCCTACACCCACAGGGAGCTTACCATCAAGGAACAAATGCAAACACAAACAGGGTCTGTACCCTCTGACTTTTGTCCCACAATGGCCTCTCACTTTTCTGAATCCAGCCTTACTCCAGAACCCTAGGAACACAGTCACCTCCTTGTTTCGTTCTCAGGTTTATTTACTGAGCACCCACGGAGTCTGTGGTACTAATCCTCAGGGTTCAGAGCCACAGTCCAGTCAACTCTTGTAGGGTCTACTCTTGTAGGGTCCAGACCCCGATTCCCTCTCCTCTAGTTACACCTTTACATCTCAGGACTGCTATTATTAGTGAGGCACCAGAAGAGAAACAGGTTGACATTACACGTTCATACCCCTGCCACAAATGAATCTCATGATACTTATTTTCAATAGTCCAGTACAGCAAGATTATTCTTTCAGACAATGCAAGTGAGATTTATACAGCAGGCCAGCCCCTTAAATCAGTGGTACTCAACCTTTTTGGCACCAGAAACTAGATTCGTGGAAGACAATTTTTCCATGGGTACAAAGTAGAAGTGATGGTTTTGCAATTAAATTTGGATAACAACTGCACAACCTAGGTCCGTTGTATGCACTGTTCACAATATATTTCATGCTCTTATGAGAATCAGTGCTGCCACTGTCCCTGATCTGCAGAAGGTGGAGCTCAGGTGACAAAGACTGCAATGGAGAGCAGCTACAAATATAGATGATACCTTGAAGGCCCACTGCTCGCTGCTCACCTCCTGTTGTGTGGTCCAGTTCATAAGGCCATTGATCTGGTACTGGTCTGTGACTTGGAGCATTGGGGAACCCACCCTTAAATGACGTTATTTATGCAAACTTCAATGTTCCAATTTCCCTGCCACACCTGATCTTCCAGCCTACAAATAGCTTTCTGCGCCCGTTGCTGTGTCCTACAACAGAACTCTGTAACCTGGCCACGCTTGCCGGGGGCTCTCCTCAGTGCCTTCTTAATTGGGCCAGGAAGAGGGGCAGGTAGGAAGTGACCTCCTTCCACAGGTCACAACGCAAGGCCTCAGTAATTCTTGGCCCTCCACTTGCAGCCCTTGGGTTTCGGCTCTGCTCAAGAGGCCCTGCCTCCTTCCCCTTTGCCAGTGCTATCTTCAGACCACTTCTTCCCCTCCCTCACCAGGAGCTTCTCTCTGCCTCAGCCCTCAAGGTCAGTCTCCACTGGCTCCTTGAACCTGGATTAGGGCTCCAATGGCACCCTGAGTTCACGTCACCATGGTGTTGGGCATGCTGCAGTGCAAGCACCTTCTGCTCCACTTCCTTTCACCTGCACAAGAATACATGAGGGGAGGGACTATGTATCTGCTCCAGCAGTCACTCTGTAAGTATAGGATATGTGGATGATGGCAAGAACCCAAAGAGTAGTCACTTTTTAATGCCTTAACGTCCCCAGTTACACTGAGGCTTTTGGACCCCATCGATCATAGAAGAACCCATTTTACAGCCAGCTCCTCCTGGCCCAGCCTCTTGCCTTCCCCCACCAGAGCTTTCTGCTTGCGTGGGACCAGCACAAAAGATGACAAGACACTGGGGTAACATGATAAGGACCTTTCAAATCCATCAGCAGGAGATTTCTATGTGACTTCGGGGTCAAAACAAAGCCTGGTTGCTGGGAATTACTACAGGCAATTTTCAACTCTCCAGGAAGCACTGGAGTTGTATCACAATTGTATGAGCTCCCTGAGCTCCATCCTGGCAGTAACTACACAGCCGCTCCAGGTGCCATGTGCAGAGTGTGGTCATGTGGCCTCTAAGATCTCCCCAAGCCCCAAGATCAATATGAATTGTGATAAACAGTCTGTCTTTCTTTGAGCTTTGCAGTGAACTGGCTTGGTCAGATGTCAGTGGTCAGGACAGAGGCTCCCAGCAGCCTTGCATGTGGCTTTGGAAACTGATACACACTCCAGATCATGGGGGAAAAGCACAGCCTGGGCACCTGGAAGGAAAGGAGGACCAAAAATTGCAAGCTGCGCCTCTCAGACCCAGGTCCTCCTTGGCTTCCAAGGCACATTGCCACTGGCAGGCAAAGCCCACCTGTGTCCCGTGTGCTCCATGCCAGCCACCTCTAAATAAATTATAGAAAGATGGCTCCGGTTGTATGGAGAATGTCAGTATGTGACTGACAGCACTCTTGCTCCACTTCCACCTCTGTGGACTCAGCCAGGTGTCTCTCCTTTCCTAAAGACCTGCAGGTAAGGGGACTCAAGTAGCCTTCTCTGGCACCAGATCTGAGCCTTGCTGCCCAGAGAGCCCATGGGGTCTCACTGATGGTGATCGCCAAGCCATGCCAGCTCTAGACTCAAAAAAGCATTTGCCTTTCTTCTTCTTCTTTTATTTTTATTTTTTTGGAACCAGGGATTGAACTCAGGCCCTTGTGCTTACCAGGCAAGCACCTATTCTACTGAGCTATCTCCCCGGCCCCTGTCTTTTGTCTTTCTTTAATATCAAAACTAAGAGGGCCAGCGAGATAGCTCAGCAGACTAAGTGCATACTTAGGCAAGCACAGGGACTGGGGTTTGATCCCTGGTGCCGCATGCGGCACCATCCTCACCCTCAGGCGCACTGATCTGGCAACTGAGTCCAGGCGTGGTGGTGCACACCTATAATCCCAGCACTGGAGAGGCTGAAAATGGGGGTCATTATGAGTCCATTCTGTGAAGTGAGACCCTGTACCAAATACATTAAACATACACACACACATACACACACACAAACTAAGGAAGAAGTTCCTCAAACAGCTCATGTCCACTGACCCTGGACTAATTGTCTAAGCCAGAGTCTCAATCCTAGATCTTCATTAATGTGTTTTTTTCTTGGATTTGGAGTTTTGACTGTACTCCAAAGAATGAAATGCAGTAATTGTGGAAAGTGGACAAACCCACTGGGACATCACAGACTCTCCCACCAGGTGCTGCAGGTACACAGCAATGGGCAGAATCACTGTGTATCCTTCTTCTCTTGGGTAGAGGTAGTAGAAAGACACTTGTTAGGAAACAGTAGGTCCAGTTTCTAGTCTCTACCTTGCTGCGACTTGCACTGTGACCCTGGGCTCATGTTCTACACCTGCTCGTTTTCTACACCTGCAGAATACAGGTCATGATACTTATGTCCTCAGGTACCCAGTGTGAGAAGAGAGAGGGAGGGGAAAGCATACTGAAGGTAAGCATTTTACTTCCTTCTACTCATAAGAGTGCCTTAAATGAAAGGTTATGTGGTCTCTGTACCTATAACCTATGAGGCCCATCTTAGAGTATTGCTAAGCCACTGTATCTAGTAATTATTTCATCATTATTTAAAGTGATATACAGTTTTATTCATCCAGGCACTGTGAATCTGGCCTGCAAGGATAAGCTGCCTACATTTTGTTGTCTAGAATATCCAGAATGCCACTAATCCTAGGGTAACTGGTGAGCACAGGACTGCAGACTACATCCAGAGCTCTGGCAAGTAAAAAGGCCTTCCCTTCCTCCCCAATCTGAGGCCATCAGAATCTACAGCTGGCTTTCACCTTGTAATATTCCGACTCCACACTCCACCCCTGTTTGTCTTCCTACCTCAGATCCTATCCCCATCATTCTCTAGGTTCTAGATAATGGACACATTCCACTCTACACTTAGAAGTGTGTATGATCAGTTTTGGCCAAAGCATCCAAGTGCAGGTACAAATTCCTTTATCCTTGACTTCTACTTGGGATGCTGAGCATCTGCCAGCTGTGGTTCTAAATTAGGGGAGTACAACTTTGTATCCACCCTCCCCCTGAGGATCTTATAGCCCAAGAAGACAACCAAGTAAATGATGATAAAGAGAGGATGCTAGGGGTTGTGGTCAAGCATGGGGACCAGGAAAACAGAAAGCTATGGGAACAAATAGCAGGCACTACTTATATTTTCCTGGTGTTTTTGGAAAGGGAATCTTGCTTTCTGTTTCTTTTCCCATTGGCTAAATTGTTGGTAGTTCTTTCTGGGATATAATGACTTTTCAAAGCTGTAAATTTGAAACTATATTCCCTAGAAGGGCTTCAAGCCTTTTGGAGAATTCAAGACTATGTACCAAGAAACTTCTTTGGCCTGGGAAAGTGACTCAGTGTCAGAGGTAGGCAAGGCTGGAAAAAGAATGCAGAGCCCCAAGCTCAGAACACAACTTGTTAAACCTTGTTGACTGCCAAAAGCCTGGGCCTTGAATCCAGGCCTGCTGCTACCTGAGCCATTATCTTCTACCTATGCAGCTCCACTGGATCTGACTGCAATCCAACATCCCCAGGTCCCTTCCTGCCCTTCTGACCAAGAATATATCCAAGATATGGGGCCAATGGTGCTTCTGCCTGGCTTTGGCTCTTGGGGAGGTGTCTACTACTAAAGGAGCCATTTTCAAACTGTATACTATGTGGTGTGTTTTTGGTTGACCCCCCTGCCAGCTGCCATAGATTGAAATGGAAAAGTTAGTGGAGGGTCCTGGGAAAAGGGCCACACAACATGCTGGGCTTTGCATAAAGATGAAAGGCAACTTGTCCAAGCAGTAAGTTTCTTAAGTAGATGCACACTTGTGATAAAACATTTTTAAAAATAGCAAGGGTCTGGTGTGGTGGCACACATTACTAAATTGATAATAAATAAATAAATAAATAAATAAATAAATAAATAAATGCAATACATGAACCTCACATGGTCCATGATGACAGCATGCCATGAACCCCAAATCAGGTTAATCACCTGAGATCTTGAAAATCTATCAGGCTCAACTCTGCTATTGGACAGAAGCAGATGGCTTGAGTCTCCACACCACCAGACCCACAGGAGCCAGCAGGCTTTACTGCATGCTGGAAATGAAGCCCTGTGCTCTCATTCCAAAGTGGCAGAGAAATTTTTTCTGACCCCGAGCTCTAGCCACACGGCCCGAAAGCACAAAGATCTCATGAGTGCAGAAACTGTTCCTGCAAGAACAGGAAAGGAAACAAGAACCCCTGTGCAGAGGCTGAGCGCACTGGCCATGTGCACAGCTGTTGTGCTCAGAGTGGCCTCAGAGCACAGGGTTCTCAGACTTGAGCAGGACCAGAAATAACTGGAGGTCTCCTTAAAACTCAGGTTGGTGGGCCTCACCCTAGAGCTTCTAAGTCCATGGGGTTGAGTTGAAACATCAGATTTTGTGATGTTGGCAAATCCTCACGCAACATGGATGCGGCTGTCCGTGGACCATACCATCCACTGTGCTGAGGCATGCAAAGCTGAGGACCCATAGGACCTCCAAATGTCCCCTAGGATCTAGCCTCATGGAATTCTGTGCAAAGGGGAGGAAACATCCCATCATCACTGCAAAAACAGAGCATGTGGACCAGTCTTTGAGTTTGTGTGGAACATGGTACAAATGTCGCCAATGAATAGGAAGGAAGTGTCCTGTGGGCTAGACACTTGCATCTGGGGCACAGATCTAGAGGGAAGACCATAGCCAACTTCTTTAATTCTGGCCTTGAGTCTTACTAAGCCTCCTCTGCAGGGTCTGGCAGACTGCCTGCTTGGCTTCAGGGACAGGAAGTAGGTCATTCCAGGGAAAGCCAAATATTGCTGAGAGATGCAGGGCTGAAGTCCAGGCTTTAGAGGCCCAGATCTTCTCCCATTGTGCCCTTGTACATTGACTTGCTCACCACCTGCAGCAGGGCAGACGACTGGCTAGGCATTGTCTGGGGATAGGTGAGGGAAAGCCAGCCCCTGTGGCTTTGTTTCTAGGTTGCAGTTTCAGCCACGACCCTCAAACAAGCTATTCCTCAGCTCCTGCACTACCTGTACTCCTTCACCATCACTAGGCTATGTCCTTCCAGGTCAAGGAGAACCTCCCTTATTTCCCTGGCTTCTGCCCATTGGAAGGCAAGCTCACTGACTGCCTCTATGGAGTGAGAAAGCTAACAGTGACCCAGGTTGGGGCTCTCTGGTCTTCCCTAGGCCAGGAAGGCACCACCTTGGGCCTGGCTGATACATTTCAGAAGCCCATGGTGGTTGGGAGATGAGTTCTAGGGAATGCCTTTCTGTGAGAAATGAGACAGTTTCTTGCCCACTTTGTCCACAGAAGGACCTTTGTCACTATGGTTTCAGGAAGTGAAGGTTCATGTGCTCCACTTCTGGGAGCACTCGCTCTTCACCTCCTCCTGCCACAGACATTCAGCCCTGACCACAAACTCCCAGTACTCAGGAAGATGCCCAGGCATGGTCCATTGTGAGCACATTCTCAAAGCAGGAGCATAACCAGCAGACTCACTCAGGGACTGGTTCAGAGCTATGCCTCAGAATCCAGGACAAAGAGATGAACAAAATGCCATCCCTGCCTTTGGGAGGAACAAGGAGATGAGGGTTGCAAAGAAGAGTGGGAATGTTGAACACATGATGTCACAACCTACATGGGGATCCAGGACAGTGGCTTAGAAAAGGTAGGTCTTCCCAGGAGGCCATGGAAGCACCTCCAAGATAAGCAGTTAACTAAGAGAAGATAG